ATAGTCTTTATTTCCTTTTTCAAAGTTTCATTTTAAATTATTTCTGTTGCTATATTTTCAAGTTCACTAATCATATTTTCTGCTATGTCTAATATGCTGTTAATCTCTCCAATGTTATTAATTTTTTAATCTCAGATCTTGTTTTTCACTTTAGAAGTTAGGTTTAGGACTATTTTACATTTCCTTTCTCTACCTAAAATGCTCATTCTTTCTTGTAGATTTTTGAATACATGGAACACAGTTGTTAAATGATCTTAATGTCATTTTCTATTAATTTTAATATCTTTTTCACTTTCAAGTTGGTTTTGATTGATTGATGTTTGTTCAGAGAAAAGTTAGTAAATAAATATAGTTATTTTTAAAAAATAAGATTAGCTAAACAAATCTAGGCTTCATATTAATCAATGGATTGCTTTAAACTTTTTATTCTGAAAAATTTTATGGATAGTAGAGATGTTAGTTGTAGATGTATGTAATGCTTCAGATAATTGTGCCATAATACAGCAGTGGCAAAGTTATGTTCTTATAGGAGAAATCACTATTAGAGTAACTGAAAAAATGTTCATTTTGTTTTTTTAAAACATCTTTTAAAGTAATGTTAGTTTTTTCTATTGACTGTTTAAAATGTGAAGTTTGGGGTTCATTACTTCTTTGATCTTTTAAATAAGATTTGAAAAAAGTGTACACAAATGTAACATTTGTACTGATATAAAACTCATTTATTTTTAATTCTTTGGATAAATAGAAACATTTAAATCTTTTGTGTGGTTAATAATTTATGCAAAGTACATTTATTTTATTTCCTACCTTTTGTTACATGTCATTATTTTTCAGTCTACTAGTTTTGGTGGCATTTTATTCTGTTAAGATTTACAAATGGGTTGTTAAGCATTTGCTCTGAGTTTCCATGATAGCTTATAACTTAATGAGTTTCTATTCATCAGAAGTATGAGTTGAATTTCTTGATGGCATTAATTTAAATTTGTTCTAAAATGCAGTGATTCAATATTGAAAGCTTGTTCTTTTTTTCTTTTTAAAAGCACAATTCATTAAATTAAAGCAATTTTCATTAATAGAACCCATGTAATTTATAAATAGTTGAAATGAGATGAAAGTTTTTCTAATGTTTTCTAATCCTTAAGATGAACTCTTACTTTGATCTGCTTAGTATTGGCCCGTTTCATCGGTTATTAGATTTCCCTCTTGTTTCTTTGAAAACTTCTGTTTTGAAGATGTTGGGCCTAATTCATACAATTTACTTTTCTGTACACATATGTAGATAATTTTGCAGTATCTATTGTGTGGATTCAGAGGACCTCTGTTTTATCTACCGATTCATTCTAATTCAATTATTTGATAATTACCAGAACTTTCATTTTGACTGTCCTTCCTTCCACTTTGGTGGGCATTAAGCAATGCATTATTTGAATATATATTTATGCTTCACAAATTTACTTTCTTTGTCAAATAAACAAAGAGTCCATTTTCCCTCCTATCGAGAATCCTGACCCCATTTTCAGTCCTTCGCATGAACATGGACTCTGGAATGAGAGAAGTATTACATGCGGGTTTATGGAACATTCCTAATGTTTTTAAGAATATTGTATGTGATGTTAATTATTGTCTTTATTTAATGTGCCTGTCCTCAGAGACAAGTGAAAAAATCACATTTTAAAGTATAAAAAATCCATTGGAATTCCTCTGGGACCAGGAACATATTAAATGGTTGCTGGAAATAGAAAGCATGTGTATGATTGAATGTAGAAGATAGGAGGCCCAGAGAATCTTTTTTCCAAACTTTGTGAGTGGAAACCTGGCCCACCCACAAAGCTATGAAGCTACCCACATGTTATATGTTTAAGCAATTTACTAGTTTATAGGAGTGAATTGCTACCTTAAAAAAAATATATACATTTGGGTGGGGGATAGGAAGAGATCCTTATCTTTATTTATGTATGCATGAAAATGGCATCCTAAATGGGAAAAATTGTTTTTACAGCAATTTACATGTAGCAAATAAGTGAACAGTGCAGAAAGAGATCAAAGAACTCAACCAAATGAAATGTTTTGCTCTATTTCAATGGATGTAAGCCTGTCCAGGCTGTAGGTTTGTTTTATTAAGGCAAAAACATTTACATTTCTCTTGAGTTATTATGATCATTTTGTAACCCTCTGCTGTAGTCATATAAACCTGCCCAGTTTTTAAAATTAAAATTGATTGTGTTCTTTTATCAGCTGAAAGTTTTCCTGGAACTGATAAGTAGCTGCTATATTTAAGAGCTTCAAAATTAGTAGCACAATGAAAAGTATATGTTCAGGTTTCATGGGATTGGTAGTAGGAAGTACACCTGCTGGAAATTATCTTATGCTTTTCATGTCATTAGGCCTACTCTTCTGGCAAAAGAGAACTTGGAGATGCACCCTACTTCTTCAACCTGATTATACATTTTATAAGTCAATATCCATATCTGTTTCTTTAAAATTTAATTATGCCAACTAGCAAAACGTTCAGCATCTAGTAATTACTCAAGTATAGGATCTGCATTAATCTTCTATGTTCTATCACTACATGTCTTGAGTTTCCCTATAACTTAAGTACATACTTGGCTTGATGGGATAACATAGGCAGTTTGTAGATGTATAAATAGCTTGCCTGGAACTCACTTTCATGCACCATTTCCTTAATTGAATTCATGCACTGTGTGGTGAACAGCATTGGCCTACTGATTTTTTTAAGTGTTGTTACATTTCTTTTTTTCCAAGGAGCTTGTTTTTGTTGTTTCTTACCATCTATAGCTGGAGTGAAAGTATTCCAGTCCTGTTTAGATATCTCATGATTTGGTGACAACTTTTAAAAACCATGGTACAATACCCTGTCCAGTGTGGCTCAGTGGGTTGGAGTGTTGTGCCATGCACTGAAGGGTTGTGGGTTCGATTCCCTGTCAGGGCACATGCCCAGGTTTCTAGCTCGGTCCCCAGTTGGGAGCATGCAAGAAGCAGCCAATGGCTGTTTCCCTCTCATATTGATGATTTTTTTGTTTTTTCTTCTCTCTCTCCCTCTTTCTTCCTCTCTAACAATCAATAAAAATTCTTTTAAAAAGCTGACAAAGAAACATGGTACTATGTCCTTCAGTTCAACCTATCTGTTTTTGCTACAGCACAAATCTTTATAAGAAAAATTAATTTATATGTGATTGATAAAGAAAGGAGTTAGGTCCATATAATGTGGAAGTGGCATCAGCTCATATGCAACTTTTCCTAGATAAGAACAGCCAGAAAAACAGCAATAGGATTAAAACTTGGGAGGAAACATGAAAAACTCTCAACTCAGTTGCTGCACTGAATGCAAAAAGCCTTTATACCATTCATTTTTGTTTGATTGATATATTAGTTTTTCAGAGAAATGTGGTAAAACATCCTTCTATGTTTTTCGATTTGGAAATTATGTTTTTATAATTCAGTCATTTGTATGTTTGTCATTGCTAAAACATTATTCTTTGTGTTACAGAAAGAACATGATAAGATGTTTTGTTGTTTCATTTTTCTAAAACAGTGTATCTACATATATATGGCAACCAGAATGCCATAACGACGGAATGACCGGTCCCTATATCACCCACTGCAGCCAGCAAATGGGCTTGATCAGGGGGTGGGTCCAGCAAGCCAATCTCCGGTGTCCTCTCCCCCCACCTGGCCCTGCCCCTGATCAGCCTCTCCCATCCTGATCACCCCGTGGTCTGTCCCCTCAGCCAGCTCTGCCCCCAATTGCCCACCCCCACACCAATCGGGTGGGGCTGGCCGGCCAACCTCCCATGGTCCCTCCCCTGCTGCTGACCTCCAATCGCCCCCCAACCCATTCAGGGGCAGGCTGGTCAGCCCACCTCCCACAGCCCCTCCCCACAGCCAGCCCTGCCACCGATTGGCCCCACCCCACCCCAGTTGGGGCCAGGGCTTGCCAGCCAGGCTCCTGTGGCCCCTACCCCCAGCTGGCCCAGCCCTGTTTGGGCTCTGATCAGGGCAGGCTGGCCGGCCAATCTCCTGCCCTGCCGTTTCTTCCTCCTGGCAGGCCCAGCCTGATCCACCCTTATTGGGTCCAGGCTGGCTGGATCCCACTCATGCAAAAATTCGTGCACTGGGCCTCTAGTATGAGCAGAGACTAAGGGAAGGGATTAGTAGGAGAGAGTGAGGGTGGACTATACTTTAAAATTTTTCTAGTCAATAAATGTACATAAATGAACAAATTGCAATCCTTGAAAGTTTTGATAATTTGGTAATGTGAAAGAATATATCTATTTCTGAATGATCATTCTGTATATGCACTTGCATTGTAAATTATTTATTTTAAGCCTTCATGTCTTTTATATTCCATAAAAGAAAAATAGTACTGTAAAACCACAATAATTTAGAGAAATTATGAAAGATCACCCTGTCCTTAAATTTTAAATTAAAAATGTTTATAAAAGTTGTTTGAATAATTTCAAGAAAATGTTATTTTAACACTGCTAAAAATAATTCTGTATAAGTTTCCTTTAAATTTAAGAAATAGTTTATTATTTGTTAGATATCCAATTAATTACTTTGAATTAGATTCTTCTAAAGAACTTCATGTACTTAAGTAAGCATACTTGAATTTTATTGATATTGTTCATTTAACATATATTTATAAATATTTACCTTCTGCCTAGTTTCAAATTACAAATTATGATTTAAGTTGAGTGAATTGGTATGATCATATTTTTATACATTTGACTCTGTCACAAGTTGAAACAATATTAGCACTTTATGTTTTTCAGCATTTTATTCTCTGAGTGTTTACTGCATCTGTATTGATAAAGGATGATTCATTAATCATATTAAATATTTATGGCTTGGAATGCTTAACTACAAATTAACACAAATTTATAAAAATAATATTATAATTTTAGTTTCTTTAATGTTACATATTCAAAGAAAAGTGAAGAAAAAGTATTCTAATTGTTAATTTTTATATTATTTTTCAGGTGCATTTTCTTGATTATAAATCAGTACATTTTGATCATAAAATGGAAAACCTAATGCAGATTAGGGAACTAGCAAAGGAAGTGAAAGAAAGAAATATTTTATTATGTGGACTTCTCATATATTACCCACAGGTAGGTAAAATGTTGTTCTCTTTAGATTATATGTCCTATAGACTACAGATTTGGTAGTGGGAGCCTGACTTTGTTAAAAGCAAAGAGATGTGTTATTAAGGAAAATATTGGCTGGAAAATTACTTATCTCAACTCGAGGGGAAAAATCAAAAGAAGTGCTTTGATTAGGGGAAAAAAACATGAAAGCTAGCAAATTGTCTTACACTAGGTGGCCCACATAGAATTGCCAGATATGCAAATAAAAATACAGAATGCCCAGTTAAATTTGAATTTCAGATAATAAATAATTTTAAGTATATTCCAAATTTGGAATTTGAAATTTGCAATCCATATTTAACTGGACTTTTTTATTTAATTGGTAACCCTAATGTCATAATTCTTAGCCATTTGTATGATTTGGAATCGCTTATTTATTTTATGTTAGGCTAAATATGTTGGTGAATGTGTTCTTAATCACTTGAAAACAGTGCTTGGCATTCAGATTACCAGAGGACGTTATTTAATTACAGAAAAATCTTATCATCAATGTCTTTTAATAGCAGCAAGTTAGTTAAGCAGAAGGTAAAAGAAATTAGCATTATAAATTTTTTGTGCAGAGAAATGTTATATAAATCAAACCTTTTGGAACCTATTAGAGAAGGTGGATTTTTCATTTTACATAGATACCTTTCATGGAATTTGAAGAATGCTCTAGAGTTTCTTAGAAGTACCACATAGCAGTCAAAGAAATCAAATAGTCAACTGCTTTTTTAATGATTTGGAATAAAGATTATTTGGTACTGACTGCCCAGGAAATGACAGGTATTTAAAGTTATATGGATGATGAATAACAGCTATTGTTGCTGAAATATTTAAGGTGCTTTTAGCCTGAAGGTAACATTTCTTTTGAAGCAAGTGAATTTTCATCAATATAAGGTTTATCTTTTAGCGAGTCCCTTAGTTTTCTTTAACTTTTGAGTTTGTTTCCTCTGCTTCTAAAATATAAAAGCATGACCTCCAGTTAGTCATCAAGAACAAGGCATACTTTGCTTAGAATCATGGAATTGTAAACTGTTAGTGCTGTAGGGGCTATTGGTGTTAGGATAACCAAAGCCTAAAGGATACATAAACTTCTCCATGGACATATAACTGTCAGAGCTCAGGAATATTTTCTGTTCGTTAGATTGTCTTTGATTGTACTCTAGATTATTACAGTGGTAAAAATAAATCAGTTCCTTCTTTTGTGTCATGCAAGGATCATAGATGCACACCTGTGCCCACTATACTGACATAAAATAGAGTTCATTGAGGAAAATCTCAAAAGCTGAGAAATGGTAGAGTACACACAATCCCTGGGACTTTCTTCATTCTATGATTTAGGCTAAGCAAAAGGGACCATGCTGGCATTCCAGTGGTGAGTATGGTTGCCAGATAACTATAGCATTCCCAGTTGAATTTGAATTTCAGACAGTCTATAAATTTTAGTATAACTCCTAATGGCCCAGTGCACAAACTTGTGCATGGGTGGGGTCTGGTGGGCCCACCCTGATGGGTGCCATTGGAGCTGGGCCTGTCGGGGGGAGAGGATGTGGGAAGGTTGGCCATCTGGCCCCACCTCTGATCAGGGTGGGGGAGGCCTATCAGGGGCGGGGCTGGCTGGGGGAGGGGCCGTAGGAGGTTGGGGGGGTGGTGATTGGGGCCTGGATAGGGCCAGTTGGCCACTGCAGTGTGCATCATAGTGACCAGTTGTTCTGGTTGTTCCGCCGTTCCAGTAGCTGGGCTTTTATATATATAGACTAGTGACCCGGTGCACGAAATTCATGGACATTAAAAGGGAATTAATTTGAGGAAATATTTAGCCCACCCTGATGGGTGCCATTGGAGCTGGGCCTGTCGGGGGGAGAGGATGTGGGAAGGTTGGCCATCTGGCCCCACCTCTGATCAGGGTGGGGGAGGCCTATCAGGGGCGGGGCTGGCTGGGGGAGGTTAGTAAAATGTATATGAAAATCTTCCTCCTATCAGAGTCTGGGGCACGCCACGGGAACCAGAGTCAAGTCCCTGCCCACCCACGTGGGTGCCCACCCACGTGCACCTCAAAATCACGCGAGACCCAGATCCGGCTGGCCCCAGCCCTGTCAAGCCCCACCAGGTGGGGGGTGTGGCCTCAGGTTGCCTGGCCTGGCACCGGGGCGGGGGGTGCGACCTGATGTCCTCCGGCACGGGCAAGGGGTTGCGCCTTGAAATCCCCTGGCCTGGGCCAGGGAAACATGGCATGAGGTCCCCCGTCAAGCCCCACCAGGTGGAGTGCGTGGCCTGAGATCCCCTGGCCCAGGCCAGGGTGGGAGGTGTGCCTTGAGGTCCCCCGTCAAGCCCTGCTGGGCATGGGGCATGGCCTGAGGTCCCCTGTCAAGCCCCACTAGGCGGGGGCACAGCCTCAGGTCCCCTGCCCCAGCCCACTGCCATGCAGCCTCAGGCCCCTGCTGATTGCTCGTTAAGGCTCGTTACAGGAACTCGGCCTCCACTGTGGGTGCAGCCATTTTGTGTTATGGGATCCCTGCTTCTGCTGTGGGTACAGCCATCTTGTGTTATGGAATCCCTGCCTCTGCTGTGGGCGCAGCCATCTTGTTATGGCATGATGGTCAATTTGCATATTCCCTCTTTATTAGATAGGATTAGAGGCCCAGTGCACAAAATTTGTGCATGGGGGGGGTGTCACCTCAGCCCAGCCTGCACCCTCTCCAATCCAGGACCCCTCAGGGGATGTTCTACGGCCAGTTTAGGCCTGATCCTAGGTATCAGGCCTAAACGAGCAGTCGGACATCCCTCTCACACTCGGACCACTGGCTCCTAACTGCTCACCTGCCTCCCTGATCGCCCCTAACTGCCCCCACCGCTGGCCTGGTCACCCCCAACTGCACCCCCTGTCGGCCAGGTTGCTCCCAACTTCCCCCCATCACTAACCTGGTCACCCCTAACTGCCTCCC